GGAAAAATGAGACTGTTTTGAGGCCACAGGGATGTTTTTGCAGTAAAGGATAATTTGTTTCTGTCTGGTTGGGTTACATAACACCCATTTAGGTGGTATCTTTGCAGATAACTGTGAAGATGATTGTGTATGTGAGTGTGAGAAAGAGAGAGAGAGGGTGTGTGTGTGTATGCATTTAAAACAGCCAAGTGTTTCTTCTTCATTGCTAATTTAACTGAGTTGAGGTTTCTTTGAGATAGAACTTCCAGTTAATTTTAGAACTCAGTTGATTCAAGCACCTTCTAACTTCAAGTAAAATAATCACTACAGCATAGAGATCCTATCAATCATAGCAAGGTTTGCATGCTTATTTAGCTAACTTGTAATTAAAGGTAGCTAAAAATATCATGCATGAATGGCAAGTTTCTACTTTTTTATTTAGCTCATCTCCTTCAGAGAGAAGACACAAGTCCCATCAATCACACAGTTGGTAACTGAAGTCATTATCACTAAAATTAAGGCAATTATATACAAATGAATATTAATGAATCTTCCAGTCAAAATCCAGGTCAGTTTCCAAGAATTTTAATAAAAATATAAAGAACTATGCTTCTCCATTTAATCTTTTGTCAAATAATCAGTACCAGAAAGGACACACCTTTTGTATTAAGCTAACATCATGGATTGAGGTTTTAATGAAATTAATAACAGTATTTTTACAGCGTGGTGCAAAGTGATGTATTAATTAACATTGTTCTCTCAAAAAGTGACATAATGTTGCACTAACTTAACTTTGAAGTTGTCATTTCTAGTTGCCATTAGCTCTATTATAGGGAGAAAAAGGATTGTCAGTGCACTGTGCTCAGCCAGACGGGTAAAACAAGATTGTATTGTTTTTAGTCTAAAAAGAATCATACAATCTGAACTCTCCCAGATCGATCTCTGTGTCCCCCACAGGAAAGACCATCGGACAATTTGTCCCCTCCTCTCTAAGTCAAGTCACGTTTACTTACAGCTGAGCTAAAGGTAAGGGGAAAGGGAATAAGTCACAGTAGCTTTCTTTGAACTGTGCTTCACCCCATGTCTCTGGAAATGATCTCAATAGCTTTAAGGTAAGTCGTGGCAACTGTTAACTGCACATGGACACACAGCACAATAGTAGATGGAACTGCATCTCTGAATTATTTAAGGAGGTAGAAAGTAAGGCATTTCAAGCAGCTATATAAGACTGAAATTTCCTCATTGTAGCTATCAGCTTTCATTCTGAAAGTGCACTGAAAAAGATAATTTTCATGTATTTATCTTTTTGCTGTAACTGAAAGTCATTCTGGTGATAGCAATGGTGAAGGTGTGCCTTCATACTCCTTCCTTCATTAACGCAATTAAAACTAGGAGTGATTTACCTGTCATTCACACAGAACCACCTTTGTGTTCATACAAGAGGAATAAAAAAAGAGAGCTTTTTTAAATATCCTTTACAAAACGTTTATTCTTTTGCCTAGCTCCATGGGCAGATGGAGTCACTGCTACGCTGATGTACACTTGAACAACCAAGATCAGCTTCAAACTCCTTATTACTATAAGTATAGAGGAAAATTAGGTAGGCAGAATGTAATCACTCAAGCTGGTGTTTTGTTAAATACAGGAGTGAATAAAATAATTATTTAGCTTGTAAGTAAACAATCCTTTGCTATTCTGAATTACCTTATACTCAGCCTTAGCAATAAACAGGAGTATGTTGCAAGGAAAAAAATAATTCTATACCTACAGAGAACCCATGTTTCACACTTAATGTTTAAATTAGATAAAGTATCAAGAAATTCAGTCTACCCTTATTTTGAACTGTGCAAAATGGAGATGGATTTGAGAGTAAATGTGTTTGTTTCTTTTTTTTTTGCCGCCATGCTGGTTAAAGTAGAAGAATTATCTACCTTGAGACTAACATTAACAAGTTTAAAATGGCTTCAATTAATTAAATAAAATCCATGGACTGGGGAAAAAAGTATTGACTGTAAGTTTCTAGAGTCCCAAGAACAATTTCAAGTGACCCATGTATGTTTATACCCTGTGAAAACACTAGCATACACTTTCTTTCATTTAACCTGTTACCAAAATAAATTGTAGATAGATATTTTGTTTCATAATAATTGATTGTCTTATTCAAGGAACGAATACTTTTCAGAAATAACAGCTGTTCATGGTCACAAGTATTCCCAGATCATATATTTTTTCCCCTAACGAAAACAAAACTTTGTCTTTAAAGAAGAGGTGTACTTAGAAATGTTTCATATGACTCAGTCCTGCTGAGGAACACTTTCAAACAAATAGACCAGAAACAGATAAAAAACCTAGAGGGATAAGTAAGCAGCAATGGGCAGAAACAAAAATTTCAGAGTAAATCTGAGGTTCTAGTTTCACAAGTATTTGTTTAGGCATCAGTATTTGCTTACTCATCCCCTAAGCCTCACTGATTATCACTGTCTCATTTCTGTCCCTCAGACAAATCAGAGTAAACATTGTTTGGTGTCACACTGGGAAGAACATCGGAGATGCTAATTCAGGTTAAAAACCCCACAGCTTTATGTTGTTGGGTTTTAAGGGCTTTTGGTCCTGAGAGAAATAACTGTAAATGCATGTCTTGTTTAAACTTGCCCCGGCATTTCTGTATTGCTTTATATCATAGCAAGCAGCATCCTAAATATTAGTATTCCAATTAAGGAGTTTAACATTCACTTCACATCAAGGTAAATTAGAGATTGTCATGAAATGTTTGCAGTCCCATGACAGTTTTCTCAGAGCCAACATCTTTTTCCAATTCTGATTCAGACTTGAAAATTCCTGAAAATTCCACCAAATCTAAATTACCTTGATGGAATTATTATTGTTATAATTGATATTACTGCTATTATTAGATACTTAATATGGACTATATATATGTTTATTTTAGCCATTTAAAATTCTCAACCTATTGTACTCGTAAGTAAAACTCAAAAATTACCTAAAAGGGCATTCAAAATCTGAGCAGGAAAAAGGTAGGCAGTTTCAAAAGTGAGTGCTATGGGTCTGTGACCGCATTTACTTTTGATAGGTATGGTCATATCTAGTGAAATAGTTGGCTTGTGGCTTGCACAACAATAAAACAAGGCTTCACTTGTCAAGGAGTCTTGCATTTGCTGGGGGCAAAGGTCAGGGACATATAGTATTTCTGGTTATGACATGTGGCTACTTGTAGCTTTTTGATAATTTGTGTTTGGTCTCTGTGTCTCCTGCTGATCAGCTCATATTTCCATAACAGCTGTATTGGTAATGACTATTGGGAATGACATCCTGAACTACTGAATTCAGGCTCTGCTAAGGTCAATGGCTACATGGTATTATCCTTTCAGAAGTGCTTTTGCTTGATCTTAAACCATTTTTTTTTCTGCTACGTTTTCAGAAATATTTTCTTTCTTATTCAGAGACTGCATTTGTTCATATCTGATTGAGATCAATTTTACTTAAATCTTTCTTTCTCCTAGGCGTTTCATCTTTTCTCCATTTCTTGAAACAAGGGACATCTTTTCTCAGACTCCACCTCAATAAGCCAGGCAAAATAAGTTATTTCAGTTATTCTCATAAAGGAGCCTTTATACTTCCTTTAAAGTCCTCTTGGACAACTGGTGCACTGTTTCATCTTACCTGTGCAGCACTGGTGAGTCTTTACAGGTATGATCTCAGCAGTGCCTCATGCAATCACATTACAGTAGGAAATACTTCCTCAGATGTCACTTAAGAGATCATTTGATCTTCCCAGGAATACATGATGTTAATGAAGCATAATTACCATACCCACCAAAAAGCCTTTCTTCTCCTCTCACACTTATAATAGTGGAGCTTCCAAAGAGTAGCAGGGATTATTTTTCCCTTAGATACCCAAAAGATATTGGACTTTTTAATGTTACTCTCCTTCTATTTCTACTACTGCATTTGTCATAGCTTCTTTTAAATGGTATTTGAGTACCCAGTACACCTCTTTTGCATTTTCTCTTGACTTTCTATTACTGATATTATGCTTACTCATACCTATAATTATTATAAAGTTCTCCTTTTGTGCCAAATTCACAAATGCAAATAAGTATAATAAAAAAAATATGTTGTCTGACGATTTTTTCATCATCACTAGAATACATCATGATAATTTGTGCACCACAAAATGAGAAAGATATTAAGCTATTAGACTTTCCAAAGAAGGGCAACAAAGATGGTGAAGGGCCTTGAGGGGAAGCTGTATGAGGAGCAGCTGAGGTCACTTGGTCTCTTCAGCCTGGAGGAGACTGAGGGGAGACCGCATTGCAGTTACAACTTCTTTATGAGAAGAGGAGGGGCAGGCACTGATATCTTCTCTGTGGTGACCAGTGACAGGACCCATGGAAATGGCCTGAAGTTGTGTCATGGGATGTAGAGAAGCAAGATTCAGGATGGGAACAGTTCCAGGCATGGAGAAAAGCATACAGCAATTGGCAGGACTTTCATATGGACTTTACTGTTATTATGTGGTTTCACTGTATTCATGCTACACAGTGCACAACTGCACATGCCCAGGCTTCCTCCTCCCCCTTTTGCCTGTGCCCTGTTCTGATTTGCTCCCCCATTTGTCTGTCTGATAGCCCACCCGATGTTCTGCCCCCTTTCCCTGGCGGGACGGTTAAGAATCGGGCGCACGCCTGAATAAACAAGTCTGCTTGCACCCTTCCTCGTGTCCTGTCCCCTCTTCCCTTCGGACCGCGACAGACGGTGCCCAGCGTTGGGCAGAAAAGGTTTTTACCTTAAGAAAACCTCCCCCACGCCACAAAGGGCTCAGACGGCGCTGAGAGAAGCGTTTTCGTCTCGCTGGTCCTTCCCGGTAGAACCCCAGATTACGGTAAGATGGCCACCGCACCGAGAAAGGTGAGCTCCGGAAAAACCTCTAATCCCATCTCCCACCCTCATAAAATCAACTTTAAAACCAACTGCAGACCAACAGAAGCCTAAGTAATTTTGCAATGGGCCTCTCTCTATCTACACCTCAAAAGTTTGTATACCGCAAGCTTAAAGACTTTATTTTGGAAAATGGACACCCCTTAGACAAAAAATCCGCAAAAACCTTTGCTAAATGGTTTGAAAACAGAGGGGAAGCAGTCTCCGACAGCATGTCTCTAAAAGACTGGGAGAAAATTGGGTACAATATCTGGAGAGCGAAAGAGAGGGGAGACAAAACTGCTACTGAGGCATTAATTGCCTCGAGATTGATTCTGATGATGCTACAGCATCAGTTGATGAGTTCCAATGAAAATCTCCAAGAATCACCACGAAAATATAAAAATTCCAATTCAAAATCCCCGACAAAGGACAAGCCCCGGAAAGACGAGCACGGCGGGAGGGAAAAAAGCGGCGCGGGGAACACGCGGTCTTGGCAACATGGCGACGGGGGGGGGGGTGAAGGGCGCTTGCACGGGCACGGGGCCGAAGCATGTGGGGGGAGATCGCGGGAACGCACGCCGCGTGGCAACACGGTGCACAAACTTTTCACGCGCGCTCTGTTGGTCCCGCCCCCTAGCCCGCCCACGCAGACTCCGTCGGCACCACCCCCCAGCCCGCCTTCGCGCCCGTCCCCCTACGCCCCTGGCACGACCACGGACCCTCCCACCAGAACACCCTCTCCCTCCAGCGCTGCCTCTACCCCCACATCATCACCCTCCCGGGGTAGACGGAAACTAAGGAGCAGGGTCAGAGCCTCTTCTGACGGTAACATCCAGAAAGATGGCCACGCCCATGAAGCCTTTGTTACCGAGGCTCCCGGCAGTTGCAGGATGCCAAAGGTCTCTCTTCCATGCAAGGATATTTGGAAAGCTTTCCGGACAGAAGCCTCACAGGCTAACGACGCCGAGTTTTTAAAAGCTTTTCCAATTTACCTAGAGGAAGGTCGTGCCCCCGAGTGGCGTCCGGTGTCTTATACTATGTTAAAGGACATCAAAAAAGCGATTGTAGAGTACGGTTTAGGCTCACCCTATACCGTTGGACTTTTTGAATCGTTTTTTCTCGCCTGCCGTTTAATACCTTATGATATCAAAGCGGTAATTAATGGACTGTTATCGACTGTGCAGGCATCCGTTTTTGAAGAGGAATGGAAACGTCTTATAGTTAAATATGTCAATGAAAAGATGGAGAGGCGTGGTATTCCTGTAAAAAATGCTATTGATATGCTGTATGGAGAAGGCAACTATGCGAGCCGACAAGACCAGGCTCGTGTGGATTTAAAATACCTGGATATTACAAAAGATCTGGCAATGGAAGCCTTTAAAAAGGTTGCTGATGCATATGTCCAAACACCCTCCTTCACCCTAATTCATCAGGGCTCAACAGAACCTTTTGTGGACTTTACAACCCGGCTAAGGGAAGCTATAGCACGGCAAGTCAAGCAAAAGGAAAACCAAGACATTTTGTTTAATAAACTTGTGAGTGAAAAGGCTAATGAGGATTTCCAACAAGCCTTAAAAATGCTAAAAGATCCTACACTCCTGGAGATGATAGAAGCTTGTAAGAATGTGGGGTCTAATCTCATAAAGCAAGACTAATAGCTAAAGCTTTAGCTGGACCACAAACCTGTTTTCACTGTGGGGAGACAGGACATATAAAAAAGAACTGCTCACAATTAACTACAAAGACTGAGCTTCCCAAGCCGCCGTGCAAACGATGTGGGAAAGGCAGACACTGGACTAAAGATTGCCGCTCCCTTACTAACATTTATGGACAACTGTTACCCCCGAAAAAGTCACCAGACTTGAGAAGAAAAGTGACTTTTAATTCAACGCCAGATCTTAAACAGTGCACCTGTGAGCTGTCAAGAAACAAGGCAGCACCCCCTCAACCGCGTTCCATCCTGCGTAGCCCATCCCTTCAGCAAGTGCCAGGAAACCACAGCAATCCCTGCAGTTCAGCTTAAATCAGATGAACTGATTATGCAAGTTATGCCCTTATCACGTGATCCCAATCCTAAATTCTCCCTTCTTACATGTTCTGCTTACTTTCCAGGATCTCATAGTCCACAAAAGACCACTATCACTAAGCTTTTAGACACCATAGAACAGTGGCATCTCGGGCTGGAAACAATTTTTAGGGGGGGAGTCACTCAGCAAATGCAGCTGTCCACTTGTTTTGAAATTTTGCTTTCTCTGTTTTGTTACTAACTATTTCTTGTGTCACAGCATGCTGCAAGAAGGACTATCACAACAGGCATTTTTCAAACTAATAAGAAAGGGTGAGATGTAGAGAAGCAAGATTCAGGATGGGAACAGTTCCAGGCATGGAGAAAAGCATACAGCAATTGGCAGGACTTTCATATGGACTTTACTGTTATTATGTGGTTTCACTGTATTCATGCTACACAGTGCACAACTGCACATGCCCAGGCTTCCTCCTCCCCCTTTTGCCTGTGCCCTGTTCTGATTTGCTCCCCCATTTGTCTGTCTGATAGCCCACCCGATGTTCTGCCCCCTTTCCCTGGCGGGACGGTTAAGAATCGGGTGCACACCTGAATAAACAAGTCTGCTTGCACCCTTCCTCGTGTCCTGTCCCCTCTTCCCTTCGGACCGTGACAATGGGAGGTTTAGGTTGGATATTAGAAAAAGGTTCTTCCCCCAGAGGATGTTCAAGCACTGGAACAGGCTCCCCAGGGAAGTGGTCACAGCACCAGGCCTGCCACAGCTTGGTAAATGCTCTCAGGCACATGGTGTGATTCTTGGGGCTGTCCTGTACAGGGCCAGGAATTAAAATTTGATGATCCTAGTGGGTCCCTTTCAACTGAAAATATTCTGTGATTCTGCAATAATTTAATCTTTCTCTTGAATTTTAGACCGCAGACCTAGAAGTGTAATTACAGTGGCAAGTTTGTCATTGCTGTAAGCAGGATCCCCGCTGTTCTTCTACTGGAAGTTTCTCTTGACACCAGTCCTTTTGCTTTCTCTCCTCCTTTTCAACCTCATATCTTCTTCCTCTAACTGGTTTTTGTTCCCTCGGTAATGATGAAGAGATGCTATAACAATACAAAATAGCTGCATGAGACATCTTTTGGGAGCCTACAATAGCCGTGATCCACAATATTATTTCCCAGCTATCACAACAGAGGAAGGTACAGGGTGCCTATGTGAATTCTTCCTTACTTTCATTTAGTTTCAGTGTTCTCCTCTCTGGCTGCATTTCAGCAGTAGGCACAGAGCTCCCTCTACACGTTTTGTCGATCGGATAAAGCACTTTTGGATTCTGCTAGATGCAGCTAGATGAACAGTACTAGACAAACATAAGTCATTTTCATTAGCTGTTACAGTTCTCAACTACAGCTAAGAACCAAGAAACTAAACCAGGCTGTTAGGGACCATCTTAGTATTGATAAAAGAAAATAGTTGACATTTGCTTCTGGCAGTTTTACTTAGAGATATGTGTCTGCTAGTCTGAGAAAGATATCATCAGCTGTGTGAAGTCTGAGAGATCTCAGAGGAAGCAGAAAGAAGAAAGGCCTGAAAAGGATTGAGGTATATTTTCTTTGTGCTTAGAAAGGGAGAGAGCTTCTGAAAAACTAAAACAAGTAATGGGACTTACTGGCAGACATTGGTAAAGGACTTGATGGGAAATTTGATCTTCTCTGTTACGAGTCACGACCTTGAACGTTACAGCTTCTGCATGAGTAGCAGCACAGTTGTAAATAGAAGTGCTTCAAATGCCATGACAGTATTGAATTCAGCACAGAAAGAGGTAGATCTAATTTGTCCATATTGCATCTCTTTTGTAAACACTGCACTTGAACCACAGGTAAACTTGTTTCTCATTCTTTCAAATATGCATCATCTACAGAGTGATATACATAAAAATTGTTAATACGTTCTACTTGCAGAAGAGATAATTTGTAATTAGATAAACATTTGGGGACAAAAGAAAACATTTGTTCTATACTTGTGTGACTGAGCTGCCTGCTCATGTGTGTTACATTGTTACCCATAAATTTAATTGTTCTCCTCAGTCTAGGTTTCTTATTTTAAGATAAATAAAATGGACTAGGTTGCTGCCCAAGGGATCACTGCTTAAATCAGCTGCTCCTCCCAGTTTTGTGTCATCAACAAACGTGCTGAGGGTACACTCTGCCCTGTCATGACCTTTGGTGAAGCCATGCTGACTACTCCTGATTAATTTCTTGTCCTTAAATGCCTGGAAATTAGGCAGTATTCAGGATTAGCAGTTCCACTGCATTCCCAGGGATAGAGGGGAGGTTACCCATCCTATATTTACCTGAGTGTTCCTTTTAGCACTTTTTGAAGATAGGAATGACGTTTAATTTCCTGCAGTCTTTGGGTACTTTCCCCACTCACCATGGTTGATTGGAGATTTTTGGGAATGGCTTTGGAACACATTATCTGCCAGCTCCCTCTTTGGGTACTTTCCCCACTCACCATGGTTGATTGGAGATTTTTGGGAATGGCTTTGGAACACATTATCTGCCAGCTCCCTCAGAAAAAATGGGTACATCCCATCGGGGCCCATGGGCCTATGCATGTTCAATTTGCTTAAATTTTACCTGACCTGAGCCTCTCCCACCAACGTTACAACCCCCTTGCTACAGCCACTCCCCTTGGTCTCTGGAGCCTGGGATTCAAGGCCAATCTTGCTAGTAAAGGTTGAGGCAGGGATGGTGTTCAGTACCTCGGCATTTTCCATGTCCTGAAGAATTAGGTCCCCTGCCTCACTGAGAAACGGGCCAATGTTTTCCTTAATCTTCTGTTTGTCACCCATGTACTTACAGGAGCCCTCCTTCTTGTCTTTGACATCCCTGACAAGATTCAATTCTGTTTGGGCTTTAGCTTTCCTATCTTCATCTGAGAATACTCAGACAGTGTTTCTGTATTCCTCCCAGGTTCCTCATTCTTGCTTCCATACTCTGTATACTTCCTTGTTGTGTTTGGCCTCTCAAATGAGAGAGTAAAGACAGATGTAATGGCTTTCAGGATTACCAAAAAAAAAAAAATAATAATAATTACAAGTTATGACATGTTTGAAATACTAAAAGAATATAGAACTCACATCTCTTCCGTAAAAAACGAACAATTAAAGACAATAGGAAGGATTTGTATACCTCATTATTGACTTCTTAGCCTCTTCTAAAATCCGTCTTTTCTGTAAAATCTGCAGATGTAACAGTCCTCTGTATGGGGACAGATGGAAGCAACTACTGCTTATTGCTTTGAAAAACTATTATGCTAAAACAGTATCTCATTACAACACCTTTGCAATGATCTGGGAGTTTTGCTCAAGAACAAAATGGATATTTATGTTCATTGTGCTTTAAAAATCATATTTTAAAAGACTCTTAATGAAAGACAGTCTGTGACCTTTTAGCTGTTTCAATACTATTGTGGGAACGAATTTTCATTTCATTGAAATAATTATGTTAGCAACTTCTACTTTTTCTTTTTTTTTTAATTGACAGTAAGTATGATTAGGAATACAATAGCACCACCTGAGGCACGGTAGCTGCCTGGATGACTTGTCAGTTCATAAATACAGGGTCAAATTTAGCCTCGCTGTGAGTGAGCGTACTTTAATTATCTGTTATTTATTATAAGTTAAGCTCTGACAATACGCTCTATACTAATAAGAATGGGAAATAAAACAGTCATACAAAGCATTCTTAAGCTAAGAAGCTATTTTTGCAATTCTAATTTATGTTCTGTTTAAAGTATGCAGCCAATTAATTTTATTCTTTCAAAATTACAGGTGAAGAAAGCTAAAAGTTTGTTCTTACATTCATATATAGATATCTCAGTAAAAGAAAAACCTGAATTTCAAGTGCATTGAAGTCCCATAGGGATCTTCTAAAAACAGCAAGTGCTAAGTGCCAGTGTAATGCCAAAATGCATAGTAAATAAGAGACTCATCACCTGAGTAGGTTTGATGATGAGAGTTGTCTGACCAGAAGTGTGGCACCAAAACACTCAATCAGAGTACAAATGCAATTTAGCTAAGTGGTCAGCTTCATTACACTTGTAATATCAGAGTGTACAGCCTAGAATACCACTCTCTCAAGTTCAGCTGGGTAAACTTAGCTAAAGAGCTGACTGAGTACATAATGCAAAAATACACAGAACTGCTGAGGTCAAATGGGAGATCAGCCTGTTTTGTCTGTTGGACTTTCTGTCTTAAATGAGCATCCTGTTGTTGTTTTGCAGGCTACCTCTTGGGTATAGGTTTTGATACTTAATAGAGACACACAGAACAAGCATGGTGTGCCAAGACCTGAGGGCTTGTGTGACCCAGTAAAGATTTTTGACCATTTGTGCTACAAAGAAAAATAGAAAAGGGCATGTAAAAATCAACTAGTATAGGATCATCCCTAAATATTCAGAATAATTCTCATTTTAGTGATAATGTGATGAAAATTGTCCCTGTTTAAGTACATTGTGGAAATTAATGATGGAATAAGTTGCAGTCCTAGAAATGTACCTTGCAGATAAATGTTTGCATTAGACTTTAAATTCTTGTGCAATTTGTTGTAAGTAATGCTGCTGGTAAACAGGCATAAAGCAATGAT